TCCCTATTACCCTGCAGGAAAAATTCTGATCCTGGTTATATCGCATTTATTTAAATTCAGTTAGGTAAACAAAAGGCCTATGTCCTCTTCAAATTTTTTCTATTATTGAAGAAAAGGATAACAATCTGAGAAAATAATACATTGATAATACTCTACGTGACCTTGTGGTTTAAGGGTTCTTGTAGTAGAAAATCTAAGTCTCCTTTGTAAGAAATGTTAAATCTTTTTTTTTTAATGTATTACTACTGGAGACATTTTTCATTTTCCCTTAAATATTTTCTTAAAAAGAAAATGAACAGAAGAAAACCTTTAATCAAATGCTCTTTATAAATTACACTTCTGACACAAGAAAGAATGTATTCTGTCAACAATAGCAAAAAGATTTCTACAGGACAAATACATCAAGAATAATTAATGTTGATGCAATGAGAATGGACAATCTACAAACACTTAGTCAAAACCTTTTATTCTTCTTGGAGCTTCCATAAAATAAATAAATTAATTAAGCCCTCTAAACAAAATCATAATATAAAATGAAGAAGAGAAACCTGGACAAGATATTTCTAACAGTAACTTTTTCCATTGTGAAAAGAAGTCACTTTTAAAATTGGTAGTTTTGCTTGTGGATATTAGTACCCGTAATAATTAGAGGTAATACCAAATACTCAAAAAGTGAAAGACAGTTTATTATGTTTGCGGTGGAAAATCCATTTTTTCAGTGTTACTGGCTTTAAATCATGCTCGTCAGCATTTACACTGGGTGCTAAAGAGTTTTGCAGTTCCCACTAATGTCAACAGGAATTGAGGACATTCAACAGCTCTTACACAACGGACATTTAATGTGTATTTCACAAGTGAGTGGTATTTTAAAGATGTTATCAATGACAACAGAAACTTGTCTTCTAATCATTTAGAACACTAACATTTTTTCAAGACTAATATATTTTATTTTGCAAGCTGTAAGTTATATTCATAATGATACAACACAGACTCTAATCTAAATTTTGTGATTGCTATGACTGATCTCAAATGAGCCAGAAAATTAAAAATTACACTACTAAATATACAAGTCCAATTCAAAATCTATAAGAAATATATGAAGAAATTAACTTCCAGGCTATTCATCTTAACTCAAATACACAATCAGACAAAGGGTGTATAAAAGAAGAATTCAAACTTTACCAAAGAATAGCCTCTTCTAACTTTGGGTGCAACTGACAAGGAGAAAAGCTGACTTTATGACTGAAGTTGAGTAATATAAAATAGAATATATGAATTCCAGTGCTTCCTGTCCAAGCGTAGACTTTTTTCCCAAGTCAGAAATTCTACGTAACTATAGAAATGCTCTTTACATCCACAATTACTCATCAACTTATAAGGCAAGCACACAAATGACTAAAAAAAATATTTCTATTAATAGAAACAGACAAATATTACCATGATATACATTTAGCATTCTATTAATAAATTCCAAGGAGAGGGTGAACAGCCTCAGAGATTTGGCAGGTTGCCAAAAATATTTCAACGTAAAAAGCTAGGGCTCCTGGTATGCAAGAAGTAGTCATACAAAAACAATTTAGTAATTATATAGCAACCATTCCTCAGTAATTAAGGTCTTATAATTTAGAAAAAAAATCAGGAACTTTCCTTGCCATTGTCTTGAACCAATACTTATGATAAAAACATATGTAGCAGATCATTGTTGTACTTACAAACTCAACCTCCTATATGTAAGAAGAAAAATATTGCAAATCTAATTTAAAGTTCTTCCCACTTAATACTTCACTTTGTTTTCCCACTCAATATAATCAGAAGACTGAAAATTTAGGCAGCAATTTATTTCTCCCCAAAGTAATTCCATGAATGAAATCAGAGCTATATTTCTCTTTTAATTAACATTGACACTGATCAGAACAATAAAATTCATTTCTCCTCCTTCCGGTAAATTATAAACACCTCGCTCTCTCATTCTGTCTACCAGGATTTCTGATGCTGAAGATTTCAATGGTTTGCATAGTAATTTCTCAAAGTTTACAGTTACTGATTTGTTTTTATCACTTCTTAAATCCAACTAAGCATCCAAAAAAGGCAATTTACTTGTACTTTGACTTTCATAGCATGCGCATGCAGAGGAAACTGCTACATGCACAGGGATCCGTTCTGCAGTCTCCCTGACAATGACCCAATAAGCAGTTACAAATACTCAGCCCATGGGCTCTACACTTTTCTTCCCAAACCCCTCCATCATTCCACTGGGAGTTGGCAGTGAGCAAAATTACATACTAAAAAGCAAAGGAAAAATAGTAATGATTACTTCCCTTCCCCCCCAGCCCCCAAAACAGGTTATGCACCATGCAGTTTCTCACCATTTTTTGACTGCTGGCCAGCCAGTACCCAAGCAGCAGCTGCCCCCTCAACTCCCCACAGCTTTATTATTCATCATTATGCCATACGGTATGGCACATTCCTTTGGCCAGTTTGAGTCACATGTCCTGGTTCTGTCCTCTCCCAGCTCCTTCTAGTCCCTTGCTGGCAAGACAGATGAGGTTCAGATTGGGTATTAGGAAAAGGTACTTCACCAGAGGGTGCTCAGGAACCGAAAAAGGCATCCCAGGGCAGTGGGTAAGACACCAAGCTGCCAGAGTTAAAGAAGTATTTGGACAACACTCTCAGAAATGGGGTCTGGATTTTGGGTGGTCCTGTGTGGAGCCAGGAGTTGGACTTGATGATCCTCATGGGCCCTTCCAACTTGGAAAATTCTTTAACCCTATGGGTCTTTGGCTCTTTACAGCACCTGCTCAGCAATTACTAAAAGATCATTGTGTAATCAAACTTGTCTTTCTCCTGAAGTCAAAACATGGCCTCATACCAGATGCTATGAATAAAATCAACTCTGTCTCAGTTTAAACCTGGACAGGGTTGTTGTTAATTTCCTTGAGGACAACAAAAGAGTAAGCTCATTTTGTCACAGACAACATACAAAACCACAGTTTCAGAACAATTATTCTTAGATTGTACATAGTTCAGTGTTAGATTCTTCTCCTTCAAACTCAAAGACAATGTACAAAATCTGGTCTTCTTATTCTTACTTATACACCTTTTCTTTAAGTAAATGTACTAGCTCCATTTATAAGCATTTACATACTGTGCTGACTACATACCCCCATGGACAGAATTTAGTATATGCTCAGGTATAAATTTGAGTAAGAATTTATTCATACAGGCCCTTCTGTATGCAATCCGACTACATAAAATATGATATAAACTGTTCAGATGGTGACAGTTACAGAGAAATTTTATATCACATAGGAACTTGTCACATCTATTATTTGTTAATTTTTCTGACTTTCTAAAATACTGCACTCAAATTACAACTTTGCCTATGAGTATTTTTTCAGTAATACAGTAATACCTCCAAAAGATAAGGCTCCATTTGATCCAATGTTTTTCCAAGATGTTTATCTGGATCTAAACCTGAAAAAAAAGAAAAAAAAAAAAAAAGAGTTAAAATATGTTTTATGGAGTAATTATATGACTTTTTTTTTTTTTTTTTTTTTTTAATGTAGCTTGTCTACCACAGAAATTGTCCCACTGTATCTAAAAAAAAGTTATATCTAAAGAAAACCTACTTTGTCAGAATTCTTTCATCCCCATTGGGCAAAATGTTTTCATTTCATTCATCATGCTCATGATGAACAAGGCTAATTATTTTTGTACTGCATGCCAACTAGATAAGCTGTTGTTTTCCTTCCCTTTCAATAACCAGCAAAGAAAACACATGGGTTCACAGTAATAGATAATCTTCACAGAAATTACCTTCTCACCTTAGAATTTCAGTTGGAAACTAGAAAGTTTCCTTTCTACAAATATGTTAAATTAAAATACAAGTTATTGTAGTCTCTGCAAGAGATACGTTAAATTATAGGAAAAGACAAACTTTTCCTTAAAAAAAAAAACAGAAAAAAAAACAAAACAAAACCTTCTCATACATGTCTCACAAAAAAAAGGCAAGAATTAGAAAGGATGGAGATATAAAGAGAGTTCAGATTTACAGAATATCTGAAATGCTTTACCTTCTGATGCATCACAAAATATTCTGTAAGATGTCTATGTATTGATCTATTTTTCCTAAACAAAAAAAGTAAGCTTTATTAGTATTTGATAGTACCAATACCTTGCCTCTCTGCATTCCTTTCTTGGCTTTTTGCCTTTATGAGTTTTGTCAGCTTAGGGCTGCTACATGGTCACTTCTCAAGAATAAAACAAATAATTGGCAGTAATCAGCACTGGGATAAAAAAAAAAAAAAACACCCAGGAAAAATTATTTCAAGAGCTGACATACTCATCAATGAGTAACCAAATTAATATTCTAGTTAGATTTGAGAGTAAGTAGTCAAAAGGTCTTAACATTCAAAGAAAGTAAAACAGAATGATGACTTCTAAAAGTGAAGATACACTGGAAAGTTTTCAATGATCACATTTCCTAGTACTCATCACAATACTCATCTATTTCTTCCTAGTGTACTACTTTATATAATAATGGTATCATCAAAGAGCTGCCAGCAGAATGTCTCAATTTAGAAGTAATTTCTAAAGCATGTTCCTCGCAAAGCACTTTAGCTCACTGATAATAGAAGTTGTTATATAAATGTATGGTTTACTATTATCTAAAGTCTTTGCTGAGTTTTTTGCTGCCTTTTAATTTTTACAGTGATGCTCTTGATATATTTAAATTTCAGTGAAACTAAATTAACAAGATAGAGTGAATGAGATTTCAAAACATAAAATTTTTTAAATATTTCATTAAAGTGCATTAAAAATTCCCTTACTATTTGAGGAGACACTTTGCAAACTGCTTAATAATTAAAAGGAAGGAGGACAGTTTTTCCACCTCTGTTCTCGTCTTAGTAGTGATTTACCGCTCTTTATTAACAGAATGAAAATGTTCATTGCTACACAGAAGATAATGATCGTTTATGCTTGTGAAAATCAATTCAAGATAACTTCATTTCAATATACTTACTTTGCTCTGAAAACCTTTTTTTTTTTTTTTAATACATTTCAAAATCCCATCATTGTCCATACTATATAATCAGGCCAATAAAGCATATTTCTAGCAGGTTATATTTGTTAATCTGCCATATAAAAGATAATGGAGCAAAAAGGCAAATAAAAGAAATGTTCATTAAAAACTACCTTTATTCTCAAAATGTAAACTACTTCTACGGATACATATGTACATGCATTATCAGATGAGGCTATAAGCACTGATTAACCCCAAATTGGGCATTGGTTTGTCCCTAAGATTTGGGATGAATATTTTTAAATGATTTATAAGATCAACAGCATACAGTCTTCAGTTTGAAAAATATCTTATATCATCTTCTTTTAATAGGTATGAGTTTGCTTGTCCACTGTTTTTAAACTTCTTACAATGATTTAGCTGGAGAACATTTTCTCCAGAGCAAATTTACTCATCAACTTAAATGATCATGAAGCACATGCAGATATCATGACCACTTAATTAAATGTAAAACATATGCATTTATGCTATACACTGTGGTGAAAGCAGATCTGGCCTACAGTAAACAATTGCAATGACTCTGTTGATGTCTTCCAATGAACACCAGCTTAACATCATGTCCTTGAATTTAATGGAACAGGTGTGAGTAGCATACTATTTACATAAATATACAATATAAATATTTACATAATATAAATATACATACTCATTGCACAATACCAGATTAACATTCTCTTCTTCATTCACTACTTTTCCAAGATAGTCAGTCCCTCTCCTTAATAAAACTATTCATTTAAAGTTAAACTAAATTCTCATTACAAACAAGTCAGAAAGGAAAGTTGTTAAATCCAGACATACTAATATATTATTTCTCTCATAATCTCTCTTTGATTTTCAGAATACACCTCTACTGCTTTGCTCCCATTTAATAAATAATAACAAGTAAAAAGAAACTATTATATAAATATTGTAGAAAATGCAAATTAATTAGCTGTATACAGACAGTTTGTAAACACTACAATAATTATTATCCCTACTTTCATGAAAATCTATAGAAATGCAATGTAACTTTTCTCTTTCTTAATAGTATTCTACTTTCTGGTGGCTTGTCTTTCTTTTGAAAAGTATCTTTTCTTTCAGTTTTTACTAAGTTTGCATTGCGAGAAAATAATCTGGTAAAGACATCAAGAACCAATATAACTGGTAGCTCGCAGATCCAAATTCAAATTGCAAATAATAGTGTACATATACAGATGAAGCCATACTCTTACTGCTAAAGTAAAATATCATACTTACAAACCATATTTAACAAGCAGTTAATAAACATTAGTCACTCTGAAGGTAATGCCTCCCATTTATTTTCATGGAAACTACAACAGATACTAAGAACACAAGAATACTATTTGATAGAGCAATTTCTCAGCTACAAAACACTATTTTTCAACATAATCACCACCAACTGCATTTTTGCCAGCGATGAACAAAAGCCTGCATGCCACACCCCTAAAAATCTGTGGAAGTGACCCACTGCTGTGGTCACCACTGCAGAAATGCACCATTTGCTGCCTCGCTGTGCTCACATTCACTGTTTGATCTCCATAAACATTCAGCAAGTGTTGATGAATGTAAATGGGTGCCGTATGTTCTACACATAGGAATTCAATGACACACCTTTGCTCCAGACACACTTCATCAGACGTCATTTTATCAGGCTGTCCCTTTGTTGCCATATTTAATGTGGCAAAAAAATATAGCAAAACAGTGGTGGGAAGATTCCGCTTCTACTGTCATAGTAGCAACATCTGCCTCTGACACTGAAGGTCATCATAATAAAATAGGAGGTAATACTTTTGGAGCAGCCTTTGTAATTTCTTCTATTTTGTATGTTTTTTTTTTTTTTTTTTTTAATGAAGAGAAGATTGATTAAGATACTTAAAACAACTTAGTCTATAAAGGAAAGCAGTGTATATTAAATTCTTAGTATATTCAATTTAACCACATCCTCCAGACGCCTCCATAAAAGTAGCTAGGAAGAAAGCTGGATGGATGGATAAACCAACAACAAGGTTCGGATCTGGATGACTGTTGTAAAATGAATAAATTAGTTAGGAATAGAACTGTAATTTGCAGCACTGACATCTATTTTACTTAACTTGCATGTATCAATGGGAAGCAATTACAATTCAATTAAAATATTCACTTTTATTACTTTACTGACTGACCTTGAAGTTAATGCCTGCTTTATTTAATTGCATCATCTATGAATAAATGTTAACCCTAGAATGTTATGCCCCATTATTTTCAAAGCATTTTTAACTCCCCAACTGAATTACATCAGTCAATTTATAATGTCCTGTCAAGAAAGCAAGTGGGGCTTTATTTCTTTGAGATAGATCAGTACATGACAACATAAACACCTTGCAAGATTTGCTATTTTTAGCAGTACTCAGTAAAACAAGTTTTGCTTTCACCTCAACTTTTGTTTTAATATAAAATCAGTTCATGAGAGTACAAATTGTATAATCACTTCAAATTAATGTGAACTCCATCTGCAATTACTGACAAATCCACTGACAGGAACAGAATTCTTGCACCTATCAACAACATTTACAGAACTCTTGTGCACAGTCACAAGACAAATGTTGTAGAGAACTGCACCAGTGCAGAAATTCAGGGCTTTGGTAGTAAAAAAGATCTATCAAAAAATTGTACTAAAAGGTATTTTGTTGATGTTAAGTATTAGTGTTACTTCCAAATGAGCATAGTGAAGGGGAAATACCTGATACCACTTGCCTTTCTCACAACCATTAAAAAACATATCAAGTTCCATTTTCACATCTTGAGTAAATAATGATTAAATAATGATTAGTTTTAAGAAATAGTGGTGCATAAATTATATCTAAGAGTTACACTGAACCAATCTGTAATCTTACTAGTTGGAACAGAGACTGTAGGACTATTGTTAAAAGTAAAATCCTATACCTAATGTCTTTTTTTTTTTTTTTCCCTTAAATAATCATCATTGATTTTTCTGAAACAGCACTAAGTACTTCTATTTTATTGGGATAATTTACTTGTTAAGGGAATAATATAGATAGAGAATCTGGAGACATAACTGCTCCTCAAGGTTAGTGGTAAAATTAACCTCAAAGGCTGGTTGTAGAACATGTTCCCAGTGCAGTTTATTTAGGAACACTTTATTTTAATGCTTTATTCCTCAGAAGTTCATCAAATATTTTCTAAACTAGGTTAGTCTGATGTCATCAAATTTTAAAATTCAAAAGGTAAAAGCTCCTAAAACTCTTCATACCAGCAATATTAATTTTATCTGTAATCTCTTGTGAGTTCTTAATAAAGTTATTTGTATTCTATTTACATTCAGGATTCAAAGCAACTTAGCTCTACTATTTCAGAAATAGAAATGTCAGTAATTCTTTCAAGAAATTTTGTAATAGTGGAATATTTTCACATGTACTTTTAAAAGTCTAAAATGTTCATAGCTGAAGAAGACATTTTGGAAGAAGAAAGGATAAACTGTTGTTTTCAACTCCTTCTTCTCTGATCTTTGAAAACAAGACGTTATATAGCAAGTAGTTCAGCTCGCTGAAAACACTGCCCCAACCAACTTCCCTACAGGAATCTCCATGAACTTCAGAGACATTACAAACTGGTTTCGTACTTCTACTAATGTATGGTTTTCCTCATAGAAATCTGTTTTCAGAGTTTTTAAACTTTGGCATACTGAAATGTTTTGAGTAGAATTAGTTTAAAAGAGCTCAACCACCATAGTTGGGATTTTTTAAAAAAAAAATTTCTTTCCCTGATAAAAGATTCTGAAATTTCTGTGCTTTGAACATTTGTAGTGCTATTAAGCTTAGAAGAAAGGGATTAAAAATTGATTCTGTGGCATGAACAAGTGCTTAAATTTGTTTCACTGTCATTAAAGTCATCCCACGCAGACAATTTATAAAACGTTTAAGATGCACAGCTCCCAGATAAATCAACAGGGACTTCTGGAAGAGCAAACCAGTAGACTGCCTGCAGAAGGGCAAAAGCTAGAACATAAATGAAGAAGCAATTTAGACAAGAACACATAGAAACCTGGAAAGGGAAAGTATCATTGGCTCTACACACATATGCATTTAAGGGTTTGAGCTTAAGCTCTGTTTCAGCACCAAAATCTGTGTTGTGATTGTGCATTGTACAAAATACTTAGTACATATTAATTCCATAAAAAAGGTAGGCATTTGGACTTCCATTCTGACTGAAATATTGAAGGTGGGTTTTTTTTTGTCTTGG